CTACTCACGCTAAGCACAAGTTCTTCTCCAACCTGAAGCACTATATTTAGGAGGATCCATACCTCTTCAGGATCGGAGCGGATGGCGTGATCCGGTGATGCGTTATGGAGGCATACCTCTTCCACAACTGCACCACCTTATGCCCGTTGGCAGGCTATGGAGGCACGCTTTGACCGAATCGAGTCACGTCTGGACCGTGAGCGGGACCCCAGGCGTTACTCTCACTTCCTGCAGGCGTGTTTCATCGTTGGTTCACGACTTGGGTTTTCAGTTCACGACCGTGAACTGATCCCGATCTGGGTATATAAAGGAGGTTGAGCCGAAGGAAAAAGGAAGAGACCTAGTGTGAGAAACTTCTTCTTCTTCTTCAAATTTATACAGTGAGAAAGTGACGAACCAAAGAAGAGCAAAAGCTAGGGTTTCATCTTCAAGCAAAGAATTGGGAATTCCTCCGCCCAAGGAGGATCTCTTCAACACAATGAACAAGGCTAGCATCTCTTGGATGGTTTCCCTTCTTATCTCTTGTGTTTTCCCTTCTCCTAGCATGGAGAGTCCCTTCTTTCACTTGGGTGTTTGTAAACCCTAGCTACAATTATGTGAATGCTTGTATGGATTGAATGATTTTTTTGTTGTGGTTGTGTTTAATGTGAATGTGGAGGTATTATTGATAAATGATTGTGTTGTGTGAAAGCCTATCAATATAATTGTCTTTCCTTTTATTAAAAGAGGCTTGAATGATGGATTTTCATAGGCAATTTATTGTCTCCTAGTTAGGTTAACGCAGGGCAAACCTCCTATTTCATATTAGCACCTAGGGTTTGGTTGTGGGTGGTCGTCCGAACTCCGATTCGAGGGTAAAGTTTAACCATTCCTTAGTCAATAGGTCGAGAGGGTCACGTTGGTGGCTTGGATCGTATTCCCTTTCCTCGACCTAGAAATTAAGAGGTAGCTTTGGCTACTTGTTAGACTTCCCTACGGTTTACAACCCCCTCACCACACACGTCCATTCGATGCATTAAGTCGTAATTTCTAGCTAGGGGGAGCAACACCCATTAGTGTCAAAACCATTTTTCTTTGCAAGTGCTTTAGCTTTAGAGCATTGTTTTCACCAAAACCAACCGCTAGATAATGTTACAAACAATCGAAGTAGTGGTACATGAACCAGCCCGAGTCAATATTTAAACATACTTGTCATGTACTGCACCCGGTTAAGGTTTATACTTGGGCATTAATCGGGAGTTTCTAAGTGGTGCGTTCGGGTTGAGTCACCCACAAATCTAATGAAAGCTGCAAAGATAGAAGTGGGGGGAGAGAGAGAGGCAATGAGGGGTTTGACCTCGGTTTAATGTTAAAATGGTTGTGCTTGGAAATGGATGGAAGGAAGCAATGAAGGGAAAGGAAGAATCTTTATGCATATATATAACATCAGGGGTAGAGAGAGAGTAAAATAAGGTGAAAATAGAAAGGTGGGGGAGTGGTTAGGGGTGGGCAACCGGTTCATTAAACCCAAATCGAACTGAATCGAAATCGAATTAAACCGAAACTGAAATAATGCTATTCGGATCGGAAGGGAAATATGGATATTTCGGAAACCAGTGTTCTTTCATCGGAACCGAATTTTCGACCGAAAAATCAAATTACTATAATTGCATGCTCCAAATGATGGATTTTTGTGTTTATAGTTGTTCTTAGACTGAAATATTTGAAATGTTTTATGACTTATGTGTTGAAATGTTTGATTTTACCATTGATGATACATATAATTGCAGTTTTATTGTTTATATTAGGGGTGAAAAATAATTTAAAAGGAAGAAGATACAAGTAGTCTCATAATTCGATTTTGTGTTAAATTTCGAACCGAACCGAATTCTAATTTGGTTCGAATTCGATTTGAGGTTTGGGATAATTCAGGACCCGGTATTCATAATTTCGGTTCGGTCAAAACCAAACCGACCGAATACCCACCCCTAGTAGTGGTGGGATGACGAAGATGGTGGCGGGACCTGTAGCTGTAATAACGTTAAGGCGCGCAGGAACAAGGCAATCGTAGCCCAGCGGCTGTCGTCGGCGATTGGTACCTGCCCATGTGATTCCATTTAATCCTTTTTCTCAAGGATTGAGTTTGATAACCGGGAAGGTTTGGGGGCGAAAAGGAAGGGGTCGAATGGCTATGGGGAGAGAGGATGGATTAATTTATTTATTGAATTTATATGGAGTTGGGCCAAATATGGGGAAAAATCCAAAACTACCACTGTTTTAAAAAAAAATTACAAAAATACCACCCATTCCAAAGAAATTCCAAATCTACCACCATACCCCATAAACCGCGCCTCGAAGGCGCGTTTCTCATTCAAATCATGCGTGCAACGTGCGTTTTTCCATTGGGCAGCTGTCAAACCGCGCTTCCACGTGGCGGTCCATGCAACCGCACGATAGGCAGGCGATCTGACGGCTAACCGCCTGCCAGCGGAGCGATCCGCGTCGTGGATTGCTAACCGTTGCGCAAGGGAGCGGTTTGCGCGTTGGGAGCGTAAACCGTGTGCTGGGGGCGCGGTTTTTTGTGGGGTAAAAATACCAAACCGCCCCTCCATCACGCGGTTCGTTCCCTATATAAACCCACCCCCTTCCTCTCATTTTCTTCACACCAAACCCAATCTCCTCTCTCTCTCTAAGTTTCTCACTCTACCCATCCCCCTCCCCACCCAAAAACCTTGGAAGTAGTTGTTTTGTTGGTTGCGGCTAAGTCCGATCTGCCTTCAAAAAACTTTTCTTTGGGTTTCACTAAAAACCGTCGAATCTCTGTCCGGATCCTGAAAAAATGGTCGATTTATCCAAGAAGAGGGTATTTACTATGATGATTATCAAACGGTATGTACTCATTTTACCTAATTTTTGTTGTTGTTATAATGGTTTATTTAATTCATATACTAATTGATTTATGTTGTTGCTATGCTATCGTAGGTTGGGCCGGATGTTGATATATACAATCAACGATATTATGTTGATCAAGGACCGATTGATCCGACTATTTTATACGATCAATCCAATCATCGTTCAAGAGACGTTTGGAACGACCGCAAGGTACGTATTATTTATCATCACTTGTAATTTTTATTTTGTTAACGTAATTTATTTGTTTGTACAATAAATTACTTAATTGTTAATCGTATTGATTATTTTCAATAATTTAAATCAATACAATACAACACTTATTTAGACTCTTTATAAAGAAATGCATGTCTAAGGAAATGGGGTCTTAAGCGATCATCATGATCCTCCCATGACCTGGGAAAATCGGGTTCTAAGCGATCCTCGGATCCCCCTTTTCTGTCAAACAGACTGTGTTTCTAAGGAGATGTATACCCATACTGGCACCTCTAGCATGTCCATGTCAGCATCAACATACCAATCTTCATTTGGAATGTGATTGTAGTACGGGATAGGTACACGGTCGCGAGGTACCTCATCACCGTCTGCGTCTGAATCTGGACCGAAATCATCAGCACCTTCAAGAGGATCGAAGCTGTCTGCACTGACACACCTTCCTCTTCTTCAATCTCAGGGTCACTAACTGGACTTGGATTGACCTCTTCTTCCATATGATGATAATCATGAAAGGCACCTTCACCTTCACCAGCTCCGTAATGGTAGTTGTGATAACTAACGCCGCTTTGGTAGAAGTTGTACTCGGGTTGGTATTGGTAGCCTGCTAGTTGGTTCCCATCAGCCCGTTGAACTTCTTCTTCATATGATGGGAAGGATTGATGATGACCTCAAGTTCCATCATGATACTCCTGCCTCCAGCTCAAGTCTTGGTACTCCTGGTGTAGATGATCTTTGTATAATACACTCCCACTGTGGATACCAGATGTTTGGCCATCTCCAGAATGACCTACACAGCCTTCGACCGCCTCGGTGTAAACGAACATCTCCGCTTGTTTAATCTTATTGGTGGTTAAAAATTGGACCATGGCATCAACGTCCTCCTGAGTGGTGATGAGGAATTCCTCATTCCACAACGACCCGCCATGTCTGTTTGGATATCGATACACCATACGATCAATTCTTCTAGTGTCATCCATGCAGGTAACCTCAGTGCACATTTGATGGAGCTCTTCAAGCATCGGTCTCGTACGGACCTTCATTTTATAAAAATTGCCTCCCACGTAACTTACACCATTTTCGGTCTCTTCCGTGTAACCATTCCACCGCAACCCAAGCGTGAACTTTTGGAATGTCATATGCAATAAAACTGTAATTAAGTTACTAACATAAAAATCAAAAAATGAAAAGTAATACAAAACAAACTTACGAATTAATGTTAATCGTAAAAACTAAATAATTTAAAGGTGCACAACTGAAATTTGAAGAAGAAGAAGGAGTGGAGTGAAGATTTTGAGTTTTCTGGACCTGCCTTTTATAGGCAAATTTTACACTGGAAACCTCAGGGGGGGAGAGCGGTTTTAGTCTGGCATGCAGCCCCCACCCCTGCAAACTCCTGCATGCCGACATGTCGGATGTCGTGTGACGAGACACCAACCGCTGGGGGGTTTGTCAAAAACCGCTCCCAGAGGACGCGATTGGTGCTAGGGCAGCCATAAAAATCGCTCCTTTAAAGAGCGTTTCTCCCATAAAAGACAAACCGCTTGTCTACTAGGCGGTTCCATGGTAAACCGCCGCCTGGGTGGGCGGTTTCTGTTTTAACCGCCCTTGAGTGGAGCGATTTTATTAAACAGTGGTAGATTTTGAATTTTTTCGGAATGGGTGGTATTTTTGTAATTTTTTTTTAAAATTGTGGTAGTTTTGAATTTTTCCCCCAAATATGAGTCAGCACTTCATACTTACGTGGCAGTACGAATTGGCATGATTATTTTCATTTCGGCACCTACCGTTTGTCATGAGACAAAAATGGTAATGGTGCTACTGAAATTTGACATAAGTAGTATAATTGTTTAGTTGCAACAAAACGTAGTAGATGATCATCGAGCAACAAATGGAAATGGTGAACTAAAGTGATAACCTGTGCAATTAACCGAGCAGGAGAAGCAAGGCAACAATAAGAGTTAAACACCATCGTCTTATTCGAGTGTTAGTATAATGGCAGTCCCTGTATAGGCTCTACAAAATTGATCTAATCCTATTCCCTATACACTTTGGGTCCATATGATAGCACATTGAACTCAACGACATTCATACAGTTTAGTTGGTATAGTCACGTGAGGGAAACGAAGAAAACCCCCACCTTATTCCTGTTTCTTTTCAATTTCATGCCTCCTCTTCTGCCCAACTTCCACCAGCAACTCTAGCAGAGCTTCACAGACTTGAGAAGCATCTGCCTCAGAAGGGTCGTCGTTTAGCGACGAGTAGACCATCCAAGCATGGTCCAGCTTCCGTGCCGGTCGGACCACAACTGATCCAGGAACCTCTGCGTCACGACGGGTCACCAGTCCATCACTCTTTTCACCATACCGGACCTGAAGCAGCTGAGCGCAGGCAGCCATCGCAGCACCAAGTGGCATCACAACAGGAAGTTTGGTTGGCTGCCCAGTAGATAGAGGCGCAACAACTGGTAACTCTGCATGTGCCACGCGAGACAATGTTGCCAGAACTGCAGGGGAAACACTGGCTTCTGTGTGAAATGATACAACTGCCACTTCTTCTGGCAAAGGATATTTGGTCAAGAAATCTCTCCTCTTCTCGTATGTTAGATCCTCCAAGGCTTGCATATCACCCTTCAATGTTTTGGCATAGTTACAAAATATATAAAATGAAACAAATGGATCAACTATAACAAAGAACTCATGGTTTAGCTCGAAGCATTATACCTTAATCACTTTGCATATTATGATTTCCATAAGCTTCCTCACATTAACGTAGTCACCAAGCTGGCCTTCACGTAGAATATCGGATGCAATTGGGCTACCACCATAAGGACTCTGTATCAATACTAATCCTGCTACCTTATCTTGTAAGTTGGGCCAGTACAATGACAGAGCAGCAGCCGCATCAATACCCCCTTTGCTATGTCCAAGAAGCATGACACGTTTATTTGAGCCCCAATACATTTCCTCAATGTATTCATAAATCTCTTTGGCATTTTTCTCAACTGAAGCCTGATCAATTATGCAGAAAAGTTTAGTATCGAAGTATGAAAATACAACCATGATGAATGGAGGAAAATAAAGTTGGAAATACCTCGCTATGAATCTTGGCAATGTGACAAGTTAGACCTATCTTCGAAAAGAACTGTTTCGTATTAACAAAATAAAGTGGTCCATGGTTGCTGAAGAGACCTGCTCGAAATATTGGAAGGTCGAGGATAGATACCTTTAAGCTACTTTGTTGCATATCATAGAATATGAAAGTCCAAAGCAAAGCATAAAAACCAACCCCATATTTCATCACTGAAACATCCTAATAGAAATTTGAAATGTCCAACTATGCATATTTTCTTATCTTATATAAGTAAATAATTAGATGAGGCAGTTTCTTTCACCCTCTTTCAATTATTTAATAATAATAGAATTTTGTGTCTTCAAGCTGTTAGTTAAGATCTCCTATAAGCTTGAACTTTATACTTGATCATGCTTGCCATTCTATGTCGCAACTGACTTAAAGACACCCCTAATACTCTTTTGAATGTCTACATATAATACAGAATTCTCATTTATTCAGAAATGTTCAAGAATGCACTAAAATACTATAGAGGGCTGCCTCAGGTAATACATTTGTAAGGGTAAAGAGCAAAATAACAAGAGACGTGAATCGAATAACAATAGCAGAACAAATTCCAGATGGTGTGCCAACCTCTTGAAAGAGTTATCTGTTGTTTACAAGAATTTTTTTTTTTTTGAATCCTATAGTATTCAATAGAGCTGTTAATGAGCCGAACAGAGCTTTGTCTTGTTCAGGTTTAGTTCGTTTATAAAAAAAATACCTCGCGAATAGCTTGGCTCATTAACATCCCCTAGTATTCAAGAAAAAATGTAGAAGTTTTCTTCACTATGTCGATGTGAAACTTTTTGCATAGAATAAATACCTGGAACCAACAGGTAAACCATAGACTTCGGCAACCTGTGCACACCATGCCTGAGAATAATAGCAAAGATTAATGAGCAGCCTTGTAATTATATATCAACCTGCCACAAAAGAAGAATAAATTCAACAGACCTTATGCTATCAAGAATCTCCATAAACCTTTCAGTTCCATCTTCAACTGGAGGCATCCCTGGTGCACATTGTAACCACCCTATATCATCAGCAGAGCCACGGACAGTTCTTCTTGCTCTCTCTATAAGTCTGAAAGTAGTCCCCCAGACTAGCAATTTCAGGTATGGAATAAAAGTAAAAGCTAGAAATTGACGTTGAGTAGGAAGTATAAAATAAGAGCCTTCAAGCATTGTAGCACATTCTTCAGGTCTAAAAATTTTCCATACAGATTGTCAGCATTTCAAACAACAATCACCCACACAGAAAATTACTGCAGAGGGACGGAACAATTAAGGATCCAAATTGTGGTAATATAGCAATCTTTGCAAACGTTTTTTCTCTCTCTCAATTATGGAGAACTTACCATCTGGGGTCAGTGGATCAGGTCAGCAGTTGTTTCTTAGTGCTAACTACCTCTCTAATTATCAAAATATTTCATCATTGTGTGCACCTTTCTAAGTTATCTAACAGTATGCAAGAACTAATAGCATACCCCTGAAATATAGAAATTCCATTTAGTCCACCATAACTAGAGGGCACGATTGCACCAGCATTTCCAGATTGTCCTTGAGAAGAAGATCTTGTTACTCGATCAACAGAAGGGGGGGTACTGGTTGAAGTTGATGGAACAGAAGTTGCAGTGTCCACTGCAGATTGCTCGGCGTGTGCACGTGAGATTGTTGCCAGTTCCTGCTGAGGAGGGGCTGAATATCCATAATCCCCAGTAGAAAAGTCCACTGCAATATACACAGAGATCCCACTGAGTTGCAAAAAAAACGACACTAGGCGCAACAAATATGAAGTAACTATATTGAACTAGTCCCATTGAATAGATTAAATCCAAAGCATAAATGCAAGAAGAAGAATAAGGTAACTCATTGAACATACTCTCATTTATGTAAATACATAAAACACCTCACAGAAAGTCCTATTCCCGCTTAAAAATTCATGAGCAAAGCACCATAAACAACTTAGGTGAGCTAAAGTACAAGGTTCAAATCAAGTAATAATGAATAATAGTTGGGGGACTACCTGAAGGGAAGCAACGAGTTATCAATGAAGTTGTTTGGGTAAGATAATCAGTAGCTTCATTTAGAGTTGGTAAGGATGTAGTAAACAGCTGAGGAGTGGCAACACTATCATTGTTCAAGGCAGCATCCTCTTGCTGAAAGCGAACATGTAAAATTTGCAAAGCGGGAATGTTATTGTGTATTATTATTCCAATAAGAAAATCAAGAGTTCTCCCAACTTTAAAAACAGCAGAGAAGTTTCATAAGGCACAACTGATTTCTATGTAAGCCACTTGTTCCACAAGTAAAATCTCATCATAGTATCGTGCTATGCTTTCACAAAGATATCCAATAACAATGAGAATCGTTCATAAGCATTCCCAATTCATAAATACATTAGCACCCTTGAGGGGGGAAACGTAGGAAATCATCAAGTGCACAAAAAAAAAAAAACTTTACCAACAGAGGCGCGCCGGATTCATCACCGCCAGGAACCTTCCCAGCTTCATCCACCATCATCATTCACCTAATAGAAACCAATGACACACACTGTATAAGTATAATTATTTTTTTCTCATAAAAAAATGTTGTAAAAACCACATGGTTATTGAAAACGAAATCTATCGTCTCGCAAGCATCAGGCAACCCCTAACCTCTTCTGGAGATCTGCGTACCGTAAACCTAGATTGGTTCGTCACGTATTCTCTTACCTGAATTCGGTGCTTTGAGTGATCTGGCGAAACACGATAGACATACAAAATTGTAAATTGAGTTTCGCGTTCCCAGATTTCGAGAGAGAAAATTTCGCGTCGCCTGGCTTGCTTGGAAAGGGGAAAGCAATCAGAAGCCCTTATGAAAGCATGCCATGGAGGTGACTGAGTGGACAATTGATCACCAAACTCGATCGGAATGAAAAATGAACCACGCAAGAGTAGAACAAGAACGGAGAAGAGAGGGGAATAGAGCTTGTATTATTTGTAGCTTTCTTTCTTTCTAATTGGTTCATTCAGGGGCCGTCCGGAAACAGATTATTAACAGGTAATTTATGTATGGATAAAAAAAGGTAATATCTATTTTTTATCCAAATCTTTTTCAGATTCGTTTATATTAATCGAATTTATCGAAAGTCTAAGAATTAGCCAAATTTTAATTTTCCGTTAGCAATTTTGTTAATAATATTGACTTGGCAACATGATACTGACTTGGAAGAGACACATGAAGGTCAACATTTCAAAATTTTAATATTTTAAATAAGAAAAGAGTTACAAAATTATTAACGATAACGTAAAAATGGCTAATATTTTGATGCATGATGAAAGATTTGGCTAATTAATAAAATTTTAATAGGTTTGGATAATATAAAAGAATCCGAAAAAAGTTTGGATAAAAAATAGACATTACCCTAAAAAAAATTATAATTGATAGCTGTCGATACCTCTGAAATTTGAGAGAGGTACTCCGATTACTTTCTTTAGTGCCCTCACCACGGGTTTGAAGAACAATTTCGAATTGGAACCTTCTACGGAGGCCTAATGCAAGAAGATAAGATCCTCATTGACTCCTTGTGTCAGGGGAAGTTGATGAATATGGCTCTGCCCCAAATAACCGAGATCCTTGAAGATATGGCTCTTAGGGAGTATGATTGGGGGTTGACTAGAAGTGGAAGGAGAAGCAATGATAGGGGAGTGAGAAGTGTGGGAGCGAGTGCTCCGCTTGAGGCGAAGTTGGATAAGTTGCTGGAGTTATGCTTGAAGATAAAAGGCAAGGAAAACGGGCGGTAATGTCATACGACTGGTGCTTGAGTACTAGCCACGAGATGGCGGAGTGCCAAGCAATGAAGGAGGCTGCCACTCTGGAGGAGCAAGTCAACTTCGTGGCAAATGTTAGGGTCAACAACCCGTATAGCAATACTTATAACCCCGGGTGGAGGAACCACTCCAAATTTGCTTGGTCATCACCGGCTAATCCGAGGCCCCACGGGAACTTCCAACCTCGGCCAACCTTCATCCAACAAAGGCCCCAACTCCAAGGCTCAAACTTTCAACAACCGTACCAATCACAAGGTGTCCTAGGGTTTCAACAACAACATCAACCCGACAAGTTATCCAAGCTCGAGGACCTAGTGAACACCTTTGTGAGTACGAGTAGCCAAAAGTTCAAGAAGATAGAGCAATTTATGGATGTGGAGACTACCAAGTTTACCTCGGCTGAGGCGGGTCTTCGAAGCCATCAAGCGAGCCTACAAAGTTTGGAGGTGCAAATAGGCAATCTTGCCGACATCCTCACCGAGAGATCCAAGGGAGCCTTGCCTTCCCAAACTGTGGCAAATCCCAATCAAGCCGGGGTGGATGCACTTCAAGTGAGGAGTGTGAAGGTGGTTCCGGAAGCTGCCACTAATGACGTGGTGGAGAATGAGGATTCTAACAAGGAAGAAACCAACCCGAAAAAGGAGAGAAGAAGCCCTCGAGGAAGGAGAGGAAGGCGGCAAGGAAGGCATTGTCGGAGGATGGATACGTGCCACCTCTTCCTTATCCCACAAGGATGTACAAGAAGAGGTTGGAGAACGAGTGTGGAGGGTTCATGGAAATGCTCCGCAACCTCCACCTCAATATCCCGTTCCTCGAAGCCATAGCTCAAATGCCAAGATATGCCAAGTACCTCAAAGGATTCCTTATCAAGAAGCCAAGGCTTGAAGGCCTCGCCAACATGACTCTTGGCGAGGATTCCTCCTCGAATGCTTGCCCAAAAAGCGTCCCGACCTAGGTAGCTTTACTATCCCTCTTGATATTGGTGTTCACCATATAGACAATGCCTTGGCGGATCTAGGAGCTAGTGTGAATGTGATGCCCTACAAGCTTTTCAAAAAGTTAGAAGTAGGTGAACTTAAAACCTCTAAGTTTAGCATCACCTTAGCCGATCGTTCGGTCATTAGCTCGAGAGGTATATTGGAGGACATGATGGTGAGAGTGGGCAAGTTTTGCTATCCGACCGATTTCGTGATTCTCGACATAAGTGACGACTCGGATATGCCCTCATCCTCGGTTGTCCCTTTCTTGCAATCGCCAAGGCATTGATAGACGTAAATGAGGGGACCCTAATTTTGAGGGATGGTAAGGAGATAATCAAGATTGAAATTGATCCTAGGGTTAGGAGTGATGAAGTGAAGGGGGTAGTTTCAAATTATGTGAATGAGAGTGGAGGAGAGCCTCTCAAGGCAAACCCCACCGTTACTTGTGTTGTCTTTGATGATGTTGAGCAGGAAGTTAAGAAGGGCCCTAAGCCCAAAGGACCAAGATTGAATGCTTGGAGAAGAAGGATGAAGGGAGCTTTGACCCGGAAGATGGGGGAGGCCGAAGCAATGTTGGGCAACCAAGAGGGCCAACTCAAGGAACCTAAGATTGGAGGCTACAAGCCTCGCCCCGAGAGTGTGGTGGATCCGTTCTCGGTGACATCATGTTTGAAGTCGTGATTGATCCCCAACCGTCAATCTAATGACGATAAACAAGCGCTTGTTGGGAGGCAACCCAACGGAGGTTGGTTTTCTTTTCCTTAATTTTCGTTTTAGTGTCTTGTGAAGGGTTCGAGTGGTGAAGTGGTGTCCCCCGTGACTAGTGTTGTGTTTTTGTGGTTTATGGTTGTGTTGGGATCGATTAGGAGGCACGGAGGAATAGGTTGAGTCAAAATTTTCTGCAGAAGTGCCCTGTTTTCACTTGAGTTCACGGACGGATTGCTGAGTTCACGGTCGCTAAGACCGTGAACAGGTAAACGCGTCCGTGAACTGGGTGCTGATGCATGTTCACCACCTGTCAACCACTCCGTGTTCACAGATGCGTTTGAGAGTTCACATATTCCCTTCTATGCCAGTCCTTGGTGGTAAGCCCCTTGTTCATCGATGATTTCCTTGCTTTTTTATTCAATGGTTGACTAGGTCGAACTCGAAGACGCTCAATGGAAAAGCCATAAACAACCGGTGGGGCACCCCTATTTTTCTCAATCAAGCATTCCATTGATATAGATCAAACTCTCACTACCAACCAGCAGACATCATCTGGCTTCCTAGTCGTGAATGCTTTGAAGGCCAAGGAAGTGGATTCCCGGTACGAAACGTTAGCTATTCTTCCTTTGCTACCGCCTATTGAAAGAAGTGAATCCGTAGTAACCACATAAATGGAAATAATAAAAACTCTGCCAAAGTCTGGCCTTTAGTTCTTGTCTGCTTTTGATCTTAGAGAAGTTGCTTGGGTTGGAAGCAGGATCTCCTAAGGCAAAGAAGGAAGCAAGAACTCTCACTAGCACTAGGTCTATTCATGGTTCCCTACCACTGGAGATCGAGTACTACAACGCGTCCGTGAACTCAGGCTCGTGCCTATAAAAGGGGCGTGAACGGCGACTCTTCACTTCATAACCAAATTCTCGCCGGAAAATTCAAATCTTCGCCGCAAAACGCAAAAACCCGTCGCTTTTTCGATCTTTCCCCCATTTTTGGCGAGCAAAACCAAAAACCAACATCATACCCAGCCTCCTCTCCTCAAAACCGGCCTATGCTGAGATTTTGGGGAGGTTTGGAGCATATTTTTTCCGGCCAAGTCCCGGCGGTGAGTCACCGTCCTCGCCCGCACCTAACTTCCTCCTACGTCCCACTTGTGTCTCCAGGTTTGTTTTCGACTCTACCTTTGTGAATTATGGAGAATCGGATTAGGTAGTGAAGTGAGGTTGAATTTTTGTGCTTTGCATGATTGAACCTAGATTTAGGGCGAGGACTTAGGTGAATTAGGTCGTGTGATTGATGGATTGATTTTTGCATGAGCTTAGTGAGCCTTGGTGGGCGCATTTGAATCAAATTGTGCTTAGTTTTAGAATTTGCCCACCAAGTGCTATGCTATGAATGCAAGTGGAGTTTGTTTTTGATTGGTGGATGGTAGCCATCGTGGTAGGGGTTGTGGTTCAACTTTTGTGTGCTTGAACCGTGAAATACCCACAATCCTACCACGGTGGTTTGAGCTTCAATGTTTTAACCATGGTGGAAAAACAAGTGTAGGGGAGTCTCTTTTCCTCCCAATGAGCGGTATATGATGATTATTTCCACGTATGGTGTGTGTTTGTGTTTGTGCAGGATGCTTAACTTGGAGCATGAGTTCATTAGTTATCTGGTGAACTACCCGTAGTTTGGCGACAAGTTCGCCTACCAGAGTGACAGCCCGATTGGGCCTCGCTGGCAGCTGGACCTGGACATGTTTAACCTGTTCAGGTGTCGAGCCGCCATGACTAGGTTACTCTCCCATTCCTAGTGGCGCCAGCTCTTGACCATGGAAGAGGAGATCTTCCATGAGCTGTGTGTGGAGTTCTACTCCACCTTCTCCCACATCGTCCCAGCCAGCAAGAAGAGCTGGCCACGGGTGGAGTTTATGCTTGGCGGTCAGTCGCAAGTGCTGACCTAAGATGGCTTCGCCCAGATCATGGGGCTTGACACCACTCACATGACGATGACGGAGCGGCATTACACCGTCGACTTCAACTATCAGGGCACATTCAGAGCCCTCCGCCGCCCAAAGCACGAGCAGAGCGAGTTCGAAGGGAGCCGCACCAATGCGGTGAAGCTGAAGACCCAGTGGGGGATTCTTCACACTCTGCTCACCAGATCCGTCATCCCCAGCCTCCAGTCATGCCACTTGATGACGAACAGAGGGGTCATTGCCTTTACTCGATGAGGAGTCGAGCTGAGCCGATCCATCTGCGATCGTTGATCGCCACCTCTTTCGCCCGGTGCTTGGGGCGGACAGAGTGGACATTATGCATATGGGGGGAATCATCACGAGGATCACCCGCAACTTCCAGGTGGATCTGGCCCACAGCACCAGCGTCGGAAGGATGGAGCCATTCCCAATGGAGACATTGTATAACCTGAAGCTGGTACTCCAGGGCGAGAGAGGAGTGGAGTACCTTGACGAACTTCGACCTTCCGGAGTCATCCGAGCTGCAGCAGCACCGGCTCCAGTGGAGCCCAACCCCGA